TAGTATGGAAGCCCCCATTATCCAGAATACCATTTTCCATTTCTCGATTATTCAGAGGTAAGACATTTCTAGTTGTCCACACCAATTAGCTCGTCCAACCACTTGAACTGGACGGTAGAGCGACGGTCTCGCCTCATACAGGTCGGCGTTCAATCCCCAACCGTCCAAGTGGTTGGGCACCATTCCTTGCTTCCCCCGTCCCATCCCAAATCCTTATACTGATCCCTTCCAAATGCCATATAATCGTAATGGCTTGACGCTTTCTCTTGATAATTCCCTCCCTCCCTTCCATTAGCTGGAGCATGTTCACTAGTTAATGGAAGTTAATCAGAATTAACCATTAATGCAGCGAACACTAATGTATACCAAATAACAACTACATTGGTTTCCTATTAATAATTCGGTGCTTTCCTATTTAATCGCCCTATTGCAGGTGTTGAAATATGCCTCGCGATAATTTACTCAGCGGAATGTTCAGTGAACTGGTCATTGGACTTGTCATCCTGGACTTGTTCATGTGATTGGCGGACACCCTTGACGCGTGTCCAGCAGGAGGGACGTCATGTGTCCAGTGTAGGACGTCACTGGTCACGTCCTGAAGTTACTGAAAGGGGTAGAAGCCTCGACTTGAGAATGGTCCAGGATGGTCCGAAACGTCGTCGTCGTCGTCCCTTCACTTTCTAGTGTGTGGTTTGGTCAACGTAGAAACCTCCTGAAGAAGTCGGAAACAAAGTCGTTTGGAATTATGTTCTTCGGTATTGTCACCAGCATATTTCAGCATTACCTTCTGGCTTTAATTGGTTGTTTACAGACTAATTAAAATATCAACACTTTCACTGTTCAACATATACATATCTTCTCTGCTCATTGCTCAACGCCAACTCTCTTACAAAAAACAAATACACAGAAAACTTACGAAAGAATGTTGTAAATTGGGGAAAAAGCTTCCGTGTGGCGCGTCTGCACTCCAGGATAACTTGTGTTCACTGGTGCTGCAAGTTTAGATCTGAAAAGGGACGATCTCCTTTTGGGAAGAAGCATACAGCGTCCAGACCTTTTGTGAATACCTCAAGTTTGTCTTGCTCTTAAGAAATACAGGAATGTGAGACGACACAGCTTCTACATAAATATTTTGTCCACTGTAAAATTGTGATACACAGACTAAAGCTTTACATGCAACAGATTAAAAGACAGAATTCATTGTATGTTCTGCGATACTGTCTAGAAGACAGTATAGGTTCTGTGGATCTTTCTAGAACACATTGTAGGTTCTCCAGTACAGTTCAGAACCCATTGTATGTTCTCCATCTACTGTCCGGAACCCATTGTAGATCCTCTGGTACTTCCAGAACCAATTGTGTTGCTCTCGAATAATCTCGACGTTTCACTAGTTTCTTATGTCGCCTACCAAACAACTGTGTGTGTATGTATTCGGGTTTTAGGTCGACGAAGCAAGAGTGAAAGGTTTTATGCATACAATTTTAATATTCTTTTATTAGTCAAAATGTCATGAAGTTTAGAAGAAAAATTCAAATGTAAACTCCCATCTGCGACAAAATACGAAGTGAAATTACGTATGTTTAGTATCAGAAAGATGAATCCTTGTGCGTCTCCGCGTCAAGGGAATCTCCCGGCCAGGTTGGCTGGTGAGAAGAGAAGTGAAGCTCTGAAGATGATGTGTGAACTACTGCAGTCCCCTGGCTGTCTTGGGAGTCCCCAACACCCAGGACAGTCCCCTGGCTGTCTTGGGAGTCCCCAACACCCAGGACAGTCCCCTGGCTGTCCTGGGAGTCACCAACACCCAGGACAGTCCCCTGGCTGTCCTGGGAGTCCCCAACACCCAGGACAGTCCCCTGGCTGTCCTGGGAGTCCTCAACACCCAGGACAGTCCCCTGGCTGTCTTGGGAGTCCCCAACACCCAGGACAGTCCCCTGGCTGTCTTGGGAGTCCCCAACACCCAGGACAGTCCCCTGGCTGTCTTGGGAGTCCCCAACACCCAGGACAGTCCCCTCACTGTGCTGGGAGTCCCCAACACCCAGGACAGTCCCCTCACTATGCTGGCAGTCCCCAACACCCAGGACAGTCCCCTCACTGTGCTGGCAGTCCCCAACACCCAGGACAGTCCCCTCACTGTGCTGGCAGTCCCCAACACCCGGGACAGTCCCTCACTATGCTGGCAGTCCCCAACACCCATGACAGTCCCCTCACTATGCTGGCAGTCCCCAACACCCAGGACAGTCCCCTCACTGTGCTGGGAGTCCCCAACACCCATGACAGTCCCCTCACTGTCCTGGGAGTCCCAACACCCAGGACAGTCCCCTCACTGTGCTGGCAGTCCCCAACACCCAGGACAGTCCCCTCACTATGCTGGCAGTCCCCAACACCCAGGACAGTCCCCTCACTATGCTGGCAGTCCCCAACACCCAGGACAGTCCCCTCACTGTGCTGGGAGTCCCCAACACCCAGGACAGTCCCCTCACTGTGCTGGGAGTCCCCAACACCCATGACAGTCCCCTCACTGTCCTGGGAGTCCCCAACACCCAGGACAGTCCCCTCACTGTGCTGGGAGTCCCCAACACCCAAGACAGTCTCCTCACTATACTAGGACCCTCTCATCCAAGCCCCATGACAGTCCGCCTACACGCTGCTGGGAGCCCCAAACACCGAGAAGAAGGCATTGTTTTGAAGCCTCTCCCACCGAGAATACCAGTCACGCCTTAGAGAACACCTGACTGTTGAAGCTTACCTCGAGGGAAGCGCCTCAGGTGCTTCCTCCAGTCACGCGCCTCTCAATACTATCTTGACTTTTTCCGAGAAGTTAATAGCAACATGGAGCAGTCCGCGGGGAGGTGCCGCAAAATACCTCCGCCCTCTGCAGGTCTTCGCGTCGACTTAACTAAAAAAGCATTAAACTCTACGGTCCCCGAGACCCACATTTAATTTACTACGCGTAAATTATTCTTTTAATGTCATTAATATTTTTACCTTTAAGGTTAAGTAATTTTGTCAGTCGTTGTTATTGTTTGGGAGGTTTAATTGTTATTTTAAAAGATGTGATATGTTTTTTTTCAGTATTAATGGGTTGAAATATTCTTGTGAGGAAGGAAGGGACTCATTTGTCTCGGTGTGAGAGATATCAGCAGGCCAGAGCTCTCCGGCGTGTCTGGGAGATGGAAAATTATTCATCTTTACCTCACACACATTCATCAGGCGTGACGCTCTGCTGCCTGTGTGTGTGTGTGTGTGTGTGTGTGTGTGTGTGTGTGTGGTGTGTGTGTGTGTGTGTGTGTGTGTGTGTGTGTGTGTGTAATTACCAAAGTGTAATTACCTAAGTGTAGTTACAGGATGAGAGCTACGCTCGTGGTGTCCCGTCTTCCCAGCACTCTTTGTCATGTGTGTGTGTGTGTGTGTGTGTGTGTAATTACTGAAGTGTAATCATCACACACACACACACACACACACACACACACACACACACACACACTCCCGTGTGTGTGTTGTGACTCATGTGTGCCTACAGTGAGGATTTCTTGATTTTTTTTTGTTTAAATGGGCATGCTCTTATAAGCATAATATATACTTCTCCCTTTGCATTTTTGGACTGGTCAACCTTCCCGGACTCAAGTGTGTGTGAGTTGGTTCTTCCTGCCTGTAACTGGTGCTGTTGACACAGAGATCCACGTGATACCAGAGTGTGTCCCTCTCTCTCTCTCTCTCTCTCTCTCTCCTCTCTCTCTCTCTCTCTCTCTCTCTCTCTCTCTCTCTCTCTCTCTCTCTCTCTCTCTCTCGCGGGCATCACAATGGCCCGGGCTAGTTACAGCCAACTGGGTTTATTATTCCCTGATTCTGATAAATTTATCCCTGTAGGCTTATCATTAAAGTATAATGTATTATCTGGTGTTAGTTATATTAAACCTCGTGTTTGTAATACAAATTTTAGGTTTCGAGAAAATATTCAAAGTTTGTTTGAATTTTTATTAATACCATTTTGATTACAGAACAAACAATTTTCGTTGAATTTAAACATTTTCGAAAGACAATAACGCAAATAGAATACAATTTCACACCTGTATGCTTATTATATGCCACACCTGTGAGATAATCTCTTAATCTCACCCCTGGGGGATAATCTATCTTTTTTTACATGCAGTCCTTATGGACGATCTAAACATTACCCACATGCACATTTTCCAGGAGTCACCTCACCTGTATGAGTGGTACCCTGTGCATGTGCTACACTGCTACAGAGGGACGTCTCACAGCAGAGCATCGTAATGCTACACAGTAGGTGTAGTACCACTTACTAAGTCAGTGGACAGGTTGCACATCTGAGCAGAATATTATACACATGGTACCAATTCTAGACGATCTAATATCACATACAACTGTACTAAACTGCTAACTGTGGAAGGATGGTATTACCTGGTTGTGTCCTTAGCTTGACGGAGGCCCGACAGGCTCCTTATGACGACTCCTCACACACACACACACACACACACACACACACACACACACACACACACCACACACACACACACACACACACACACACACACACACACACATACACACACTCTCCGCTCCAACTATTGCAGTCGAAGGAGGAGGACAATGACGAGTCTCGTTCATGGCGTCGCTTACACACGCACACATTCGTCGACAGCAGTTGCAACATTGCAGGTTTCGACGACAACGAACCTCTATATAAACCGAGTTCGAAAATCGCGAAACCTGAAGTGTCCAACAGGGAACGAAGAGAGAGACTTGGCGGTGTGTCCCTCGTGTGTGTCTGAGGGCGACGCTGTTCTCCCGTCGTCTTCTCAAAGCCTTCTTGTTAAGTCGTCTTCCTTGAGGTCCTCCCGGCCAGCCAGGTTACAAGAGGCCCTCCAAAATCGTCCTCTTTCATGGTTTTCTAAGGGATACTCCTGGATCCCTGCGACAAGAGCGGCTTAGCCAGCGGTCGAAGATTTTACCCGTATTTTATTTTGATTTGAATTGGT